AATTATTTTTAAAATTATTTTTAAAATATTTTTTATTAATTAATTTTTGGCCAATCAGAACACAAGAAATCACAAAAGCATCAAATTTCAATATGAAATTTTTGAAAATGGGACAAATGTAGTCTTTAAGTGTCGTGCACTGTATATGATCGTATAATTAAAATAAAAAAATTTTGATCGAATTTGACAAGATAAGTATCAAATAATTTTTGTTTAAAGTTTAGATATCTTTAAAAAAGAAGCTATAGTCAAATATTTTTTTAACTTTTAATAAATATATCTTGATAATCAGCTATTCAAATTTGATCAAAATTTATATATATATATTTTTTTTTAGTTTTAAGGTGACCTCTTGGTCGCGCTGTGCTTTTATTGTTTTCAGATATCATTATACATATTTGGAGAGTACATTTAGTCATATTTGTACCTTTTGAGTATCTATTTAAGTAGTCTGCCTATTATTAGGTTCTATACTATTTGCCATACCTGCAACCCAACTAGGGGGTTACCCATTTAAACTTTCTGCGTCTATATACTCCAAGGCCTATAACAACCAGTATCCTTTCCTCTAGTTCTAAAAACCAGTTTCACAGGCAGTATTGTACGTTTTGACTATTCAAAGGCTTTTTTGGTACTGTCCAACATCCAAGTATCTACAAGTGTCCAAAGCATGTTCAAGCTTTAATAATTAATAAATTTGTTTAAAAAATATATAATTATATATTTTTTTATATGCTGGATATATTTTATTTAGAAATTAATATAGATTATCTTAATAAAATTTTGAGTAATTTTAATTTATTTAATTGTCTAAAATTGTCCAAAGTGTCTAAACTTACTGTCTACAACTGTCCTGTGACAACACTGCTCACAGATACATCATTTCACATACTGACTTAAGACTACTTTATCCTTGAGATAAATCTGACAGAGCTCGCAGTATTCCTACTTTATATCGCACTTAGCCTGTGCTTCAGTTTGGTACGCACAGACTGAAGCCCACTACTTGCGACTCTGTTTTCCCTATTCTGGAAGTATGTAGTGCCAGGTCAAGATCATTACCTACGGTTAATTCTCCAGCTTAAACTTTCTCCTGCTTCCTTTCTATGATTTAATCCTAGTTTTCGGCTAAACTTCGCTACCCAAACCTACTTCTGCCTTTGTAGAGTTCACTCAAACCCCAGAACTTACTTCACAGTATATCTCCAGTACTTTAGTAACCCGGTTCCCTTTACCTAGACTTCCAATTTAGATAGCCTGGTATGTGTTACTTATTTTTCTCTGAGTTTGACAGCAGCCTAGTTGGTAAAGATATTTCCTTATTTGTCTAATTGTAAGGACCCAACCTGGTTCTCAAACTTCTAATTTAGATGGCCTGGTAACTGTGTACTTTTTCTCTGCCCTAGATAGGTACTCCGAACCTTGTAGACCTTTCACCTTGCCGCTAAGCCACATGCATCACAGCTCCTTCACCTTGGTTCCTAGGCCCTCTTTTCTATTATAGCGGCCTGGTTAATGTAGGCACATCTCTAATACCCCATATTCTATCCAGTTCAGTTCACCAGGTTCTATTTCTTGGGTCTAACCTTTACAGTAGCTCTGTTGAAGATTTGTACTACCTCTCTACTTGAGACTTGCCAAGCAGACTTCCATATTCGCAGTTCTTTAGATTTACATAGCCTAGAGGCTTATTTTGTATTTATACCGCCTATTATCGGTTTGCATCTCTTCATATAACATTATATCACACAAATACCCAGACCTCCCAGTCTTGCTGATGCGACTATAGTTACAGATATCCTATCCCAACTAATCAAACAAATACAGTTAACTGTAACACAAGCAGAATTTTGAATTTTTGTTACCAGTGAGATTCGAACTCTTGATCTGTCACTTGGGAGGTGACAACTTAACCACTTCGCTATATTACTACACCCCTAAAATTTTTATATTTTAATTCTATGAATCTCTAGAATTAAAATAAAAAAAATTTCATCAAATTTGAATAGTTGGTTATTAAGAAATCTTTGTTTAAAGTTTAAAGAAAAGAAAATTTACCTGATTTTGATTTTTTTTGATTTTTTGTGTTTTTAAAACTTTTAGTGATGATTTCTCAACAACTACTAAATCAAATTCAATAAACTTTTTTTTTCTTTTGATTATATAGAATTTCTGAATTAAAATAAAAAAATTTTTACTGAATTTGATCAAATAGTTATTAAGTAATCATTGCTAGAAGTTTTAAAAAACCTTCGAATTTATTAATAGAATCAATTTTGTTTATTGGTTATTTTCTTTTTAGGAGTTTGTATTACTGGCACAAATAAGTAAAGCTAGGGTGAGTAGGCAGGTTAATAACAATTATTAATAATTATTAAGGGTGGGTAGATGGGCTAACTGTTTTTTACAATTATAAAAAGAGTAGATAAAATTAAACAAATAACCCGATTACTGTTAAAATTAACCCTTAATAGTGTGACTGAGAATCCCCCTTTAGAATTGGGGGATTCCAATAATTTATTTTTAAATAACAGATAATACTAGACATAAAGGAAGAACAACATAAGAGTAGTTAAAGATACATTTTGATCTATCTATTAAAATTTTAATTTTGATACTGTGCCAAATTCTTTAATATTTAATCAAATCACTTTTTTTTCAAGTGATTTATCTAAATATGATAGCCTAGAGTAGCTGACAGCAATAAGAAGCGGTAACATTGTCTGATTCTAAAGGATAATATCATTATGTAATTTGAGTTTAAGAATTGTAATTCCTACTTCATTTGGGATAATGGCCAAAACCGAATATATGTCCTATTTGTGTTAAACTCAAGAACTTGCCAAATTTATTAAATCAATATTATTATTTTATTAGCAAATGACAATGAAATAAACCTAGATTCGCTATGCTGCGTATATTTTTCAAAAACGACTAAAACACATTGTACTGTGTATGTGGTTAAATAAAATTTTTTTTTCAGGAATAGTTTAATGCAATGGCAACTTAAAAAATATTTACTTCCGAGCTTCAATTTTATTAAAATAAATTTTGGATTTTTGCAAGGGTTTCGGATTCAGCATAAGTTTCGAATCAGAGTTTCGGACTTTCGGAATCGCATGTGTATTATACATGTGATCGAAACTTTTAACGATTAAATATACAAAATCGAGCTACCAGGACTTTATTAATTGAGAAATCAAATACCAAGTTTATGATACAAAAATTTTAATATTACATGCTAAGAATAACAAGTACAGGTTACCCCCGTTAATATCAACCTAAGCCACAAAACAAATTTTTATAAATTTTTATATATCAAAATTCCCTCATATATCAACTTTAATATGATTTCTTGGTAATATCACTATCAACATTATTTAAAACCAATTCAAATAGATTGATATTAACGAGGGTAACCTGTAATATTGTTTTACACTAAACTTATTTGATCCACCCCTTTTACTAAACCAAAATACATACTTCCGATATCCGTCCCGTCTTATAACAAATTTTTTTTCCGAAGAGTTTGTTCTAATATAAAAAGATCGTGGTTTTTTGTAACTAGTTTCCAATCTTCTGCACCATCCGGCCATTGAATATTTTTACGATTCATAAAGGGAGAATAACACGCAGAACCAACTTTTCCAGACCATTCAAAATCAATCAATTTAACGTCAAATTCGTTATCTTCAAGTTGACGAACTAGAATATTTCCTTCACACAAGTCTCTATGAATGTATCCTGAATTATGCAAATATTCAGCTACCTCTTTTATTTTTTTTCTCAGAGAACTCCGTTTTTGATCATCAAGGTTAGAGGTAATATTATGTAGTATTGAATGATTGTTCAGGCTTTCCATATAAACCAAAATCCAATTTCCAGGAATTACTGAAGTAGTAAAGACTTTTGGTGCATATCCAACTTCATCTAAGAGCTTATGTATATCAAGTGAATATCGATGTTTTTGAGCAGCTTTCACGTAGGCTGTAAGATGAGGCCCTTGTTCATTTAAAAGTGTAACTTCCCAAAGAAGATTTGTGCTAACTTGGAAATTAATTTGAACCATGTAAGATTTATCGTCTATAATCACTTCCGGAAATGAAGGATGCACGGGATGGTCAGTTTGAGGTTCGTCTTGAATTAATTCATCAACATTAGCATAATATTGATCGAGAAGTCGGAGAGATATCTTCAAAGCACGAAATGTTTTGGCAATTGATACCATCATCGCTTCGTCATGTTTTTGCCAAATAAGAGGAAAGACTGGAGTGAGCGGGTCAACTATAGCAACATCTGCAAACACAGCACCGGAAACAGAAAAGTAAGGTCCTAAAAAAGTAAAGTTAGTTGCAAATTCTGACCAAGACATATCAACTAAATTTATTACTATACCAGAAATTTCAATCAAAAAGCATGAAAAATTAGTCACATGGTAGAAGGAATGTTCCTTTTTTTTCGCGCAAAAAATTAAATAATATCCACAATTTTCAAGGTAGGGACAGGCATCGGAGCTGCAGTTATGCCTCTTGTATTTCACATTAACCTCACGATATGCGTTAGGGCCATCACCATAACATACAGTACCATCTGTATGACAATGATCTTCAGTCACAATTGGTTGTACAGAGCGTTTGAGATATTCAGATAGCATTTTATTTGCCTTAGTTTGACGCTCCGATTCGTAATTATAATATTTTACCATTTCAAAACAAAAATCATAAGCGAAAAGATTATCTTCGCTTTCTAAAAGCTCATTACATAAATCCTTAAATTTTCCAAAAACTGAACAAAGCAAGCTAACAGGTACAGAACTAGAAGCTGTTGAGGGACAGTGATTAAGACAAATAGCATCAACAGCATTATTTTTCTGTCGTTTGTACCATTCCTCAGGTTCTCCAAGCTTTGATGGTGCTGGTAATCCACCTAACATATCCAGATACGATCTTTTAACTATAAAATAATATTGCATTAGTTCAGTTTATTTACAATCAGCAGAAAACAAGATATTATACCTGTCTTTTTGTCTGATATTCTAATTGGATTATTAGCCGAGCATTTTTGTTTTTTAATATAATCGATCAAGACATCTTTCGACCAGCTAATATTTATGTATTTATCCCCAATAGAAAAAATATGATCTAATAATGCGCCCCTGAGACCAAAAACTTTTTCCAAAAGTGTATGTAACTCACTAAGACTATTCCAATCATTGGAACTAAGACACATGATTTCTGAATTAAGGTATTGGAAATATATGGAAACTTAAAATAAAAACAGCACATTAGCCAACATAACGATATAGCGAACATCCTTAATGAATAAAGTAAGAAAATAGTAATAGATTTTTGGTGATATTCGTGATACCTACCTTCCTCTCCAACCTTAGACGCCTGTAATATTGCTAGCCTTTTTTTCAATTCTTGCAACTCCTGATTCAATGCAGTCGTAGCTATATAACACGTATAAAGCACAGTTAATAAATAAAATTATTGCGGAAAAAGCAGTATAGGTTTGGAATATTCGAATGCAGTCGTAGTACCACTTACCCTGTCCTTCGCCTTTGATTTTATTTACTAATTCTGCTATAACTTCTGCTGGTCCACCGGGAAGTTCATAAGGGGAGGCTAGAAGCTTTTCTAGAGTTAGCTTAAGAAAGGCTGGACCAGAGACCCAGTTGTCTTCGATTTTTTTAAAGTCTTGATTCCTGAGAAATTTTTTTATTTTAGATCTCAGAAAAGTATTAACATCATCCGAGACCCATTCAATAACTTCTTTGACTGACGGAAGAGGAATATTATCAGACATGGTGAAAAATAGTTGTACAGTATTGGACAGCAAGAAACATCCAATTTTTTTTTAAAAGCGCCAAGATTTCTACTCAAATCTGATTGGCTATTTTTCGTATAACAAGATTCTGATTGGTTAAAAATCTAGAAAAACAATTTTTTTTATATATTAAACGCCAAATTTTTGATTATATAGTAACTTTAGGCTCTAATAACTTTTTAAATTTATAATAA